ACCAAAACCTGATAATTTTCAGCCCCTGAAGGAGGACATTTCCAAAACGCATAGGGTGGCAATAAAACTTTTTTCAGCGGCACTTGGCATTTATTTTTCTCCCATTTGCTTCTTATGCCTTCCCCTCTAACTTGATTACTAAGAGCTAGGGAGACCCCCACTTTCTTTCTCTTATTTGAAAGCATCTTACCAAGGGAGTTGGGGATTCCGCTTAACAAATTTCCTGAGAGATCCAGCTCTGTGCAACTAAGCAGATTTCCGATATCTTCAGGAAGGGATTCCAGTGCATTTTCGGAAAGGTCCAGTCTCTGCAGTGCCACCAGCTCCCCTATGCTCTGTGGCAGACCTGTAAGTTGGTTCTTCATGGCAGAGAAGAATGTCAGCTTGGTGAGCTGGCCAAAATTCTCTGGCAGCTGCTGCAAGCTGTTGTGACACACCAGGAGACAGCTGAGGTTGGCCAGCTCAGTAATACAGGGTGGCAATGCCACAAAGGTATTGAAGCTGAGATCGAGATGAGTAAGGCAGCTTAATTCCCTGAACCTCTGTGGCAAGGATGCCAGCAGTCCTCTTTGGCTGGCACCAAATTCATCCCTGGTGTGACCTCCTGAAGCCAGAAAGGAAAGATGCAGGAAGAGCATATTTACTAAAATTACAGGTGATTATTCTTATCACAATGATTTATATTACCTGGCCTCACATACTGTAAACACATCCACTTCCTATGAAAGGACATGGAAGACTGGATGATTTATTGGAAAGCATAGAAAGGATTTGGGGAAGGAAGACACTTAAAAGGAACGACACACTGTAGTTAAGGGAATTTGCTCTGCATCTTTTGTTTTCAGACTCTGTGGTATTTAGAGTGCTGGACTGGGGATCTGGGAGACTGAGGTTGTAGTCCCTGCTCAGCCATGAAGTCCACTGGGTGACACTGGGCCAATCATAGACTCTTGTCCTAACCTCCTTCAAAGGGTTGCTCTTGGGTAAAAAGGAGAGGAGAATCTTGTAAGCTGACCTGGGTTCCTTGTAAGAGGAAGAAAGGAAGGGTATAAATATAATAATTATTATTATGCAGGTATATATCATACACACAGAGCCATTTTTTTGGCCTCCTGCCATAATCAGGGGCACCCTCTGACATCCCAAGATAATAAAATGAGGATGCCAAAGCTGCAAAATAACTATTTTTGCTACACAATTTTCTATTATTGGATATGACAAGTATGAACATACTATTCTGTTCATATTAAAGGTTGCCAGCCAAGCAGGTTATTATCAATATATGTTAAAGACATAGCTTTTAGAAGCTTTACATCAGCCATCCCCAGCCCACCAGATGGAGTTGGATTTTAAGTTCTATCATCTCCACCAGTATGGTCAATGGCCGTGGTGCCTGGGTATAATGGAAGTCGCAGTCCAACATGTCTGGAGAGCACCAGATTGGGAAAATCCACTCTGTAAAGCACTGAACACTTTCTAAAATAGGACCTAAGCATTAAGCACATGCTCACACTGCATATTGAAGCACATATGGCTGATTTCAACAGGATTGCCAATTTCTACCATGATTTTTTTTTACATATTGCTCAGAACTAATAGCGTGATTCCTATGAGCATATACTTAGATGTAAGTTTATTCAATTTGTTATATTTATATCCCAGCTTTCTTCCTTCCAAGGAACTCAAGGCAGCTTACATAAATTTCCTCCTCCTCTGTCTTACTCTCACAACAATTTTGTGAGGTAAGTTGGGTTGAGAGTCTGTGACAAGCCCAAAGTCACCCAGTGAACTCCATGGCTGAGTGGGGACTAGAACCCACATTGCTCTAGTTCCAGCCCTGCACTCTTAACTGCTACAACACACTGGCTCTCAATAGAATGGAACTGATTGCAATGACACTTACTCCCAGGTACATCACATTTCAGCCCCATATATTGCAATCTGAAGATGCAGGGAGGGTTAGAGTCCGAAGTTAGAAAGACAAATGGGGCACATATGGAAGATGACAAACCTATTCTTCTACACTTCAACAAAACAGACATTTTAAACGTGCACTGCATCTCAAGTTCCATTTCACATCCAGCACAGGGGCAAGGTGACCAAGGGTCATTTTTCTGATAGTGCCATGAGGATTTTGTCTCCACAACTGAATGCAGAACTTACTTTGCTCTTGGATATTTAAGCAGGATAAAGCAGAGCCATAAAGCATAACAATCAGTACAAAGATCTAAGCAAAATTTAATGCACCACACACACACTTATTAACCCAACCCTAATAGACTCATTAAGGGCAATTTTTGCACGCTCACAGATATCAAGCTATTGGCACAGGATGTCATGTTCAAATAGAAGCCCTGTTAAGGATCACAAAGCAATCTCACTGGCGTCACTGTTGAAGCAAGAATCCATTCCAAGCCAACTTGGAGAAGATTCGAAGAAAAATAACCTGTTATTTGTTCAGCTGAACTAAAGAAATTTTCCTTGTGGAAATCAAGAAAACCTTGAAGATTAGTTCTCCAAAAGAGTGGCGTTGTATGTCCATATGGCTTTCTGTCATGAGTGTGAGAGTGAACAGATAATGGAGTTCTTGTCATCTCAGGAAAAAATCTGTTTGTTCTTCGCTATGAGTGAGTCTAGCCCCCTTCCCCAAATAAGCAGGTGTTCTTTCTCCACCTTGAAAGAGTATGTTTCTTCATGCGGTGTGTGCGTGAGTTTTTCTGTTTTCTCCCGCCATCCCCCAAACCAAAAAGGTGTGGGTGCACATACACACATTTAAGAGATTCTGTACCCCTCCCATAACGAGCCAGTTCTGTAGCACTATCCACAGAGCTTCCTCAAAAGTCCAAGCTTGCCCACAAGGTTTCCTGATCTAAATGGACAGAGAAATGTATAAACAGCCAGAGGGAAAAAAAATAAAAAAACAGCAAGCACACAGTTACCTTTGAGCACGAGGGATTTCAGGCCCTTCAGCGTAGGAATCTTCGTCAGCGCAGAAGTGATGGAGGTCTCATTGCAGCTCAGCCTCAAGAACTCCACTTGTTCTACTTCATCCCTCCTTGCCTCAAAGAGCTTGAGGAACAGGTGACAGCCCTCTGTGTAGACGTCTAAGTTGAGCCGGTTGCCGGCCAAGCAGGAGCTATGTGGCTCCACAGCCCCCAAGGCACCCTCCTCCAGAGGGTCCCCGAGCTCCTGCAGCCCTGCCATCTTCGGGTGTTATATTGCCGCAGGCTGCTCATGTTCTGACTTGCCAGCCAAACAAAGTGTTGGTGGTACCACAAGTAATTAAAATGAACGATGGAGGAAAGAAGCAGTCTCTGGAAAGAAAGGGGGGGGGGAAGGCAACCACAAATTCAAATTTCTTTTCAGGCCCTAATCCCCATCCCCAACACATCGATAGCACTAGAGGCTTCCTATGAATTTTTCTCTTTTACACTGGGGGTACCCACGGGATTGCTGCCTGTGAGAATGAGAGAGTATTTACAGATTTACAGGTAGTTTCTCTCATGACAGCATGACATGTCCCCTTCCACACAACTATGACCACTGCGGTCCCTGATATGAGGGGTCACATACTTCCAGGAACTGTGGATGAAGAGCCAACTTGTGCCTAAAGAAGGGCACGAAGAGCTCAGTGCTTATAAGCACATATTACTTTAAAAATGCAGTCGAGTCGCAACAACATCCCACAATTCTCAGCATTCTCGATGCAGCCCCCTTAGCGGGTAGCCGACCTTCCACCCACCCACTTCTCGCTGTGGGCCTGAACAGGCCCGGTTATTTTCCCCTTCGTATAACCAATCCTTATTAGTTTTTCATTCAGCAGTTCGATGGCTGTTAAAAAAACCACCTGAACTAACGTCTTGCCTCTGGCTATTTTACGACACTTACCGTAACTCCAAACAAGACAGGCCGGAACGTCGTTCCCCCTTACTCGCAGATGGCTGGGGATGGGTTGTGATCTCTCCGCAAAGAGGAAAGGCAACTCTGCATGTGCTCAAAGGTACTTTAGCAAAGCTTTTGCAGAACTGACCTGGGACACTGAAAATCCGTTCCTGCGTAACCCTAACGCTGTAACATAAGATCCACTGATGTCGGCGGAACAACTTTCTGATTATCGCGCTTAGGATCAGCGTTTTGAGCAACGGAGGAAAGAAAACTCTGCAGGAAGTTTTCAGGAAGCGAGCAGAAAACTTGCCCCGAAGAAAGCGGTCACGTGCGGTTTTTCGTCCCTCCTCAATCTCCCCAAAGAAGTTTCCATTAAAACACACCGCCCAGTCCGATTCAGTCAACTGCGGCACACCACCCTTTCCCCCTGTAAGGACGCTTACCCGGGCTGTGACAGCATATTCTGATCGTCGTCGGGGGGGTCTTAGTTACCCTGATCCTTACCCACCCCTAAAAGCCCATCGCTGATCTCGCTGGAAGGGTTAGCCCAAACAAGCGTGCTCGGGATCGCATCGGGAGAGTCACTCGTTGAAGTGCGACGATGGATCGCAGCGGTATCCCGAAAGTCGCGTTTTGCAAAGGGCCAAGTTCTTTCTCTTAAAGGGGCAGTTCACCACACGCTTTCCTCTGCACGTTCCTAACACCACATGCGTGCTTCTTCGGCGCGCTAAGGGTTACTCAGGGTGTTCCGCGAGGAGAGAAAGCGCCAACTTTGGTTAGCGGCGGGATTTCGTCCATTGTGATCTGTCGCTTCCCAACAAGCGCCAGACGCTATAATGTTTTAATAACACCGCTTTTCAGGTGGTAAGCGCCGAGTGGTAGATTTTTGCGGACGAAATTCCTTATTTACTGTATTTATATTATTTCTGTGCTGCCTACCCAAAGCCAGCCAAGGCGCTTTACAAGTATGTCAGAAAACCTTAATCTAGGAAAAGGTAATAAAATAGTAAAAAGAGAATTAAAAGGCAGATCAGATCAGAGAGTTCTTCAGTGTGTTAAGTTAAATTAATACTTAGTCTGTTCTCACTAGGAATAAAAATCCAGTTTCATCAAAACGGTTAACTCATTTTCCAAGCTGTAAAAGCGAGCTTAGTGAATAAAGTGTCATCAGGATGCTGAACTACAAAACTGAAAAATGACACCTGCAGGTCCTGTGTTATATATCATAAGGTATGTTTCCACAGGTGATGCATATTTGCAGCTTGTTGTGTGCTCACTATGCAAGTACATATTTCCTTCCTATTGCTAAAACAAAATGTTCCTTTTAGATGTTAGAATGATTATGTAACTGAAGTAAAACACAAAACTTATATTTGTTTAAACTGCAAAATAAAAGGCATAGAGACAGAAATGAATGGGATCCACAACATATGGTGTATCCTCATCCCCTAACACTACTGTTCTTTCCAAATAGACCTTAGCCAGCAGTACATGAATTACAACTTCCACTGACTTCTGCTAACATGGTCACTGGCCAGGAACGTAGTCCAAAACATCTAGAAGTTCCCAGGCTGGAGTTGTATGCTTTTAATTGCATACCTAGGTATTCCCCAATTTTATTTATTTATTTATTTAAAACATTTCTATGCCGCCCCATTCACCGAAGCCTCGGGCGGCTCACAAAATAAAATTAAAATATAATACATTCCAATATACAACAAATTAACAATATAAAATAAGTTGCCCTGGCCAGATAAAATAAGCAACTAATATTAACAATTAAAATGATGTTTAAATAAAAAGGTCTTCGCCTGGCGCCGAAAAACAAATAATGACGGCGCCAGGCGAACCTCTCTGGGGAGCGCATTCCATAGATTGGGCACCACTGCAGAGAAAGCCCTCCTCCGAGTACCTACCCTCCTAATTTCTTCACGGAGGGTTCCCGGAGAAGGGCCTCTCCCGCAGATCTCAAGGGGCGGGCGGGCGTATATGGATGTAAGCGCTCCTTCAGGTAACCAGAACCCAAGCCGTTTAGGGCTTTATAGGTCATCACCAACACCTTGAATTGGGCCTAGACTTCAATGGGAAGCCAGTGAAGCTGACGGAGGACTGGAGTCATGTGAACATAACACTCAGTCCCCGTCAGCAGCCTGGCAGCTCTATTTTGAACCAATTGAAGTATCCGGACCGTCTTCAAGGATAGCCCCACGTAGAGCGCGTTACAGAAGTCAAGGTGGGAAGTCACCAGCGCGTGTGTCACTGTCGCCAGGCAGTCGTACTCCAAGTAGGGGCACAGCTGGTGGATCAGCCGAAGCTGAAGGAAAGCGCTCCTCGCCAGTGCTGTCACCTGAGCTTCCAATGAAAGCTCTGGGTCGAGGAGCACTCCCAAGCTGCGGACCTTGTCCCTAAGAGGGAGTGCAACCCCATTCAGGACTAAGTTCAATTCACCCTCTCCGAAGCCCGATCCGCCAACCAACAGGACCTCCGTCTTGTCTGGATTGAGCTTCAGTTTATTGGCCCTCATCCAGCCCATTACCGCGGCCAGGCACTGGTTCAGTGCAGCCACCGCCTCACCTGGATTGGTGGAAAACGAGAGGTAGAGCTGGGTATCATCAGCGTACTGATGATTCCGCAGCCCACACCTCCTGATGACCTCTCCCAGCGGTTTCATGTAGATGTTGAACAGCAAAGGGGACAAAATGGACCCCTGCAGTACTCCATGGCATAGCTGCCATGGTGCAGAGCCATAGTCCCCCAGCACCACCTTCTGGAATCGGCCATTGAGATAGGAGCGGAACCACTGCAAAGCAGTGCCTCCGACCCCCAATCCCGCTAGCCTATCCAGAAGGATACCATGGTCGATGGTATCGAAAGCTGCTGAGAGGTCCAGGAGGACCAACAGGGACGCACTCCCCCTGTCCTTCTCCCTGCACAGGTGATCGTACAGGGCGACCAAGGCAGATTCAGTACCTTACCTGGTAATCTGAAGCCGGACTGAAATGGGTCCAGATAATCAGTTTCATCCAAGCTTGAGAGCTTGAGAGCTTCATCCAAGAAATTATAGATGCCTCAGGGCAACAAAAAAGATCAGGGGCCTGGAGTAGCTTCCCAGTGTTTAGGAACGACAACTGGGACTGTCCAGCTTAGTAAAAAAAGGCAAGTAAGGGGAGACATGATAGAGGTGTTTAAAATAATGCATGATGTGGACAAATAATGCATGATGTCCCCCCCCCCCCCGGAAAAACCCAGGGTCATCCCATTAAGCTGACTGGTGGAAGGTTTGGGTCAGATAAAAAGAAGCCCTTCTTCACACAGCATATAGTTAAACTATGGAATTAGCTGCCATGAGAAGTGCTGCTGGCCATCAACTGGGATGGCTTTAAAAAGGGATTGGACAGATTCATGAGGGAGAAGGCTATCAGTGGCTACTAGCCTTGCTAGCTTATGTGCTAATACTTTTACCAGAGGTGACCTGCCTGCATGCACCAGTTGCTGATGTACTTGGGCAAGAGGAAGTCTTGCACCCATCCTGCTTGAGATCCTATGGGCAGCTGGTTTGCCACTATGTGTAGAGTGCTGGAGTAGAGGGACCTTTGGCCTGATCCAGCATGGTTTTTCTTATGTTCTCAGTGGTCCCAGTTTAGGATTCACTCTCACTTAACCACCTGAGTTTATTATATATGCATTGTGTGATTAATTATGTGATTTGATCAGTGTTTGAAATGATACTTAGGTTGCCTTTAAGAATTAAACCTTCCTCATTTATTTTAAAATGTTATAAATTACCCACTATTCACAAGGGATGCCAGAGTAATGTAAAATTGTAGGAAGATAAAAGTTTACATACAGATGCACCCTTGATAGTGTAATTATGGTTGCTATCCTTCCTAAACACATTTACTAGGGAGTGACCACCACACATCAAGATGTACTTTTAAGAATATGCTTTTCTAGGATTATGTCAATATTTATCATGGGCAGTGCTTTATAAACACACACAGGCAATACCTACATGGCATTTTTTTCTTACAAAGAATAGCTTTTTCTCTATTGTGAGTATAGGTTTAGAAAGTATCCTCAAACATTTGTAGCATGTTGTCCATCTGCAGTTTTCCACGAGTTGACAGGGAGTTCAGGCTAGGGTCATCTTTTGGCTCCAGGTTAAGACCTTTTTTGCCAAGGCTTGTAAAGACTTATCCGGATACCCAAGGCTTGAGCTCATCCATGTGTTTCACAGATACTTTCTTTGTGATTGTTTTTCAGCTGTTTTAACTTTTTAATGGCTGATGTGTATAACTTTTAAATGGTTTTTGATTTTACATTTTTAAATTGTATCGTATTATCTGTTTGATGGACTGTTGTAAACATCCCAGAGAGCTTCGGCTATGGTGTGCTGTAGAAATGGCTGCTGGTGATGACAGTCAGGGCTTCACCGGTGAAAAGCAGACAAAAAGACCTGTTAATATAAGAAAATATTTCAACTTACAGTGCATGACTACATATTACTATTCAGAAATAAGTCCCATTGAATTCAGCTGGAATTACAGAGGATCGCAGCGTTACTGGATGTTAGCGAAGGCCAGCACAGTCCTATGCGTACTGAATCAAAATCAAGCTGCGCCGTGTTCCGCGCGACACACGCGCATAGACGCGCGCCTAGAAGCCGCTGCTACCCATGCGAGCCCTGATTGGCTGTGGCTTGCACCCAATAGCAAACGCAGTTGTTGGAAGGTGCAGGGAAGAACCTTGCGCGGTAGGTCCCGCCCTTTCCTTTCCGCTGTCGCCGTGGTAGAGAGCGCACGTCCTGTGGCCTGGCCTTGCACGAAGCACGCGCTCAAGTAAGTCGGGTCGGTGGGCTCCTCACATTTCCCCGCTTCCCGTTGTAGTGGGCGCGTCTAGAACATGGGCAGGTTTTTTCCTGTTCGCGGCGTGGGCCTATCTGGTAGTGGTCAGGATCAGCTGATGCCCACGCGGGAAGGGGTGAGGAATGAGATGGCGGCCATGTGCCTTCGGAGTCGGCCTGGAGAGGGCCTATATGGGAAAAGAGTCAGTTGTCACAGTGGCTTGTGAAAAGTGCAGAGGTGTCGGGGTGTTGCAAGAATTAAAGTCTACGAACTGGTCAGGAGGAACAAATGCTTTGGAAGCCCGACGTATAGCAGGGCAGATAGAGCAGGAAGGGGATCTTTCCTAATATTTCCTATAAAAGAAACGAGGAATCGTAGAGAACGTTTGCTTTAAAATTGTTATATAGTACTGCAATATTATATTAAAAAAGCGGATACATTTTTTTTGGAAGGAGAGGAAACTACGGTTAATGTTTAGCAAGCAAACTAGTGAGAGGCTGCCTCCCTTTCCTAGCTGATTTTGACGTTGTGAAGTTTACATTTAAAAACTGCTTGCCGTGTAATTTTGTTTTCCATGAAGATCAGACCCCTCCCCCCCGAAATGAATTAATTCTAACTTAAGGACAGTCGATTGCTGAAGAAACACTCAGTACGATTTGGAGATGTGATAACAATATACAGTTCCCTTGAGGAATTCGTTTAGAAAAATGAACAAACAGCTTTTTACAGATATTGCTTCTCTTTCCAATATCCTCCTTTAAACTTGTATTTCATAGACGTTTAGTCCCAAATAGAAGCATTTTGCATCATCTGCTTCCTGACTCTTTAAAAAATAAAAGTCAAAGTAGTGATGTCAAATGTTGAGTCTAAGACCTTATGCAAATGAGAAATTGGTTTTACTAATTGCATTCGATTCTGCCCTGTAACGGTGAAGGTTTATTCAGTTGATGTGCCAAGTGTAGGATACCAGACGGTAGCTCCTAGGTGTAGCCAAAATTATGGGGATCCTATTCATATTACCCTGGAAGTTGAGGCAGTATCACTGATCTTTAAACCAGCTGGCCTATTGTATTTGATATCTGTAAAAAAGAGCATTTGATGGAAGTCATATGAGTAAGCATGGGCTAAATGTTTACGAAGTCACCTTTCTTTTTCCAGGATGCGATACATTGCAGCTTTCCTTCTTTCTGTTCTTGGAGGCAATGGGTCTCCAAACAAACAAGACATAAAGAAAATCCTTGACAGTGTAGGCATTGAGACAGATGATGAACGCCTAAGCAAGGTGAGTTGTAGATGTGTAATGTAGCACAAAAGGTATTCTTGTTTGACTCTGCTGTAAGTGACACTTTTAGATTCAGAGGGAAGGATGCTTATATCTTGGACCACTTCCTCTGTGAGACAGACAACTGTTTCTCTTGGCTGCATTCATCTAATTATCAACTGTGTGAAATTCAGGATTACATAATTTTGGGGGAGAATAATGAAACAGTTTTTTCTGGATACTTTCTGCGTGCTGTAACCCACCTTGTTGGGGGTTTCAATGTCCAGAATTAAGATAAATTGGAATAACTGTAATGCTGTACATTCTGTAGCCCTGAGCATAAATTGCTCAAAGACATTTTTCTCATCAGGCATTTCAATACAGTGAGTTAGATTAAACTAATAAGGTAGTGATTTTTAACTGCTGAGAAGTAAGCCCTATTGGCACTTACTTCATGATAAATAAGAATAGGATTATGGCAAAACATTGTTGCTTTTAGACCCAATTGAAATTAGTGGGTTTTAAGTAATTCATCAATTTCTCATATATTTTCAGTGGGTTGAAGTAAGACTATCTTAGTTGGGATCCAACCCTTTGTATGTAGTGGGAAATAAATTAATTGAATGCTTATTATTCATTAATAAAAAGGCATAATTGTGCTCCACTGAGTTTTAGAACTGCTTATCTGATGCTTATATTTCCCCTTCCAGCAAAGGCCCCCAAAATATGTAATAGTTTCCCTTGTATATACAATGAATATTTAGCTTCAGATATACATTTAATATAAATACGAATGCTGCAATGTAATTATAATAATGGTGCAGTGTTACATCCAGCCATCTACTACCATAGGGAAACATAGAGCCCACACTGTGACTGTGAAAAGCTTTCCAACATCACTTGAATATCATGTCTTAAATAAATCATAGCAGCTTGTACCTTGTGCTGGATGGCTTTTAAATATTCGAGCTGTGACCACAGCTTGCTGTGTTGACAGTCATAATTCTAAACCAGGCCATGGGTTATACAAGAGTTGTTCAGCCCTATGGGTTTGGATCCATGACAAAGCACAGTTGCAGCCTATATCTTCAGAACAGCTACCTGCATATACTATAGCTCACCATGCTTTAAATAAGACATTGTGGGCTGTTTGAGTGAACCAGCCCAATAAGCAGAAGAGAAAATGGACAGCTGTGCAGACTTGTGTAGTGTAGGAAAAAAGCATTTCACTGGGTATCGCCAAAATTAAGTACAGCAAGCTACAATCTTTCTGTCTTAATTCTTTTAGCATAACCTTGTGAAACAAAAGTACAGTGGTACCTTGGCTCACGAACTTAATCCATTCCAGACTCTCTTAATGACCCAAATTGCTCATGAGCCAAGTTAAATTTCCCCATAAGGTTCAGTGTAAATGAGGTTAATCTGTTCTTTAACTTTTTTTAATCAGAAAAACATGAAGAAACAAAGTGACAAAGAACAACAAAGATCACGGCCATGTCCCTGCCCCCCAGCACGACCGCACCCATCATTCCAGAGTGCTGGGTGAGGAGAGACTGGTGTGAATGCAGGTGTGCTCCGGGGTGGGTGCGATCGTGCTGGGTTGGAGATGGCCGAGATCTCGGTTGCGCTCCCGCAGGAAAGACAGGCGTGATCTCGGCCATCTACCCCCGACCCCCAGCATGATCGTGGCCATCTCCCCACTCGGGGGTGGGGGGTGAGGAGATGGCCGCAATCGCCATCGCCACCCAATGCGGAGTTCGCGACTGAGTCAAAATTTTTATGAAATTTTTGTTTGCGACCCTATTCGGTCATTAGCTGAGACGTTTGTAAGCTGAGGTACCACTAATACATGAACACCTTTTTTGCATTCAGAGTTAATTAAATGCAACATTCAAACCATTTGGCCTGACTCTGTAGCAGTTCAAGTTATTTCTTGTTACTCCAACTTTCCTTCTCCCTTTTAGTCACTTTGTGCTGGACTTTAGTGAACAAAGGTTGTATCTATTCCCAAAGACCAGCTCAAACTGAGACTCACATTTGAGGGAAGTGTGAGACTCACCCTTTGAGGGAAGTTGGGGTAGTTTCTGTTGCCTGGAATAGGAACAACTATCTTTTCATGATGTGTTTGCAGTTCATGCAGAACTCTGAAGGAGGATCTTTCTTGTGCATGTACAGCAGGAGAGGTTGTCAGGCAACCTGTGTTGTTCCCTAGATCGAACAAAACTATCTTTAAAAAGGAGGTTGGTTTCATGTGGGGGTAACATTTGATTTTTGTCCTACTTGTGGGTTTCCTGTGGGCAGCTGGTTGGCCACCGTGAACAGCATGGTGGACGAGATGGTGTGGCACTCTTCGTTCTTATGAAATCATGCCAGTTGATTATTAGAATGTTGCATTTTTCTGTTTATAAAAACAACTCATTGGAATGTATGACTCAAATGGGAATCCATGCAAAAGTCACAGTACAACATGTTTAATAAAGGATATTTTAACCTTTCTAAACTAGCTGTCAGAAAAGTGCCTTGGGATCACTATATTTTTCTTTAAGTACAGCTTCAGTAATACATACGAGGTTGTCTAAAAGTTCACTGTGGCACAGTGCAACTTCTGTAGGGAAACAAGGCCAATTGTTTATAGAAAGTGTATTGAACTCACTTTTTCAGTTTTGGGGCCCCAGATTGTTAGTTTACATTAAGAATGTGGGTAATGCAACAACTGTTAACTCATCTCAGCCTAACAGTGAAAGAGATACATATCCCACCATTAAGATGTGCAATATCAGGTTTTGCAAAAATCCAGCAGAATGGTGTTTTTTCAAACAGAATGATCTGCTGTTCAGAAGCAAGTATTCTGTTGTCTTGTATACAAATAGCATATTTCATAACTGATGGTGGTTGTCAGAACCTTAAAAGGAAAATTTGAACTTTTTTCCCCATAGACTTGCATAGGAGCATGCTCTTATCTTTGTTCACGTATTTGCTAGCTCTTAATGGATATTGCCAAATTAAAAGTTTAGAGGTTCCTTAAATAAAACATTCAGAAGAAACAACATTTATGCAGCATTACGTTTGTGTATTGTACTGTTTTGAGCTTGGTTCTGTATAATGTTGCAGGCCCCTTGTTTAGAATCCATCTCCCATTTTCATCTTCATTTTAGTTGCATCCAGTAAGACAGATATCCGGGGCTTACCTCCAAAAACAGCTTGTCTGGTTGTGGATCCTTTAACCTAACTCAGAAGCAGCAGCAACACATGCACATATGTGATTAAGAAAAATAACTAAATAGGCTAGGGACAGGTTTGGGGCATGATGGAATAAAGCCTAGCTAGCCGACAGTAATACAAGCAGAGCAACTATTAATAACTCTGTTTTAGTTGGGGTGCATTTATAAGTGTCTGCATGAAAACTTACTTAGTTAAAAACAAAGGAAAGGACAAGAATGAAGGTACTTACATTGTGAATCCTATTGCCCCTCTTTCTTTTCATTTGACTTGGGAAGCATAACTTATGGGGATTGATATTACAGGTTGCAGAGGGAATCCCGTGCCCTGGGAATTCCATGTTTTGAATATTGGGTGCAGTGTACACATTAAATAAATAAATAAATAAATAAATAAATAAATAAATAAATAAATAATATCTTTTGTGAAGATAGCACATCTGAGTGCTTCTCTCCTCCCTGGCCATACACATCCTAACATGGTTTTAGTGAGTGTGGGATATGAAGCATTCCATCCTTTAGTTCATTACTCTTAGAAGATTTCTTAGATAATGCGTTCCTTTTTTCCACAGGTCATTAATGAGCTGAATGGGAAAAATGTTGAAGATGTTATTGCTCAAGGTAAGTTAAATGTCAGGAATGGTTTGGGAAGGGAACATAGTGATACCTTCAACATTGAAGGCATCAACTGAGAACATACAACTCACTTGAGAGGCTTCTGACTATCTTGGTTACATCATGCCAACGCAAAATGTGTTGGTGTGCATTCAGTGACCTGATTTGGGTGGTACTGGTTGACCCAACTCAGATGTTCATGGGCACCATGGCTTATCATGGGTTTAGCTCACAGTGAATTGCACTATATTGTCTGAACCAGTCAGTATGCCCTTCTGCAATGAAAAAGAATGTTTGGAGTCAAGCAGGGGAAAGGATATCATTAGATTGCAAAGTGATGCTTCTTGGCTTACCTACCTTTTGCACTTTACTCTGGTTCCTAAATGATTCCACTACATCCCACTGAAGGTTAGATTGTGACCTAAACCCACACTTTCAGAGTTCCCATGGCACAACTGAAGAAGGAAAAAGAATTGTGGACAACAGGCTAAATATGAGCCAGCAATGAGATGCAGCTGCAAGAAGGGCAAAACTTGGGATGCATTAATAGAAGTAGTATTTGCAAATCATGAAAAGTAGTAGTTCCCCTATACTCCTTACTAGTCAGACCTCATCTGGAATGCTGTGTCTAGTTCTGGGCACCAAGATTTAAGAAAGATGCAGGAAAAAATAGGGTCCAGAGGAGGGCAATAAAACGGAAGTTTGGAAACACTTGCCTGATGAGGAGAGACTGAGAGAACTGGGTATGTTCAGCCATGAGAACAAAAGATTGAGGGGGAACATATTCTATAAGTACCTCAAAGGCTGTCACAAAGAGGAAGGACAAGATCTCCTCTTGCTGATACCAGCATGTAGGACACAGAATAATTAACTCAAGCTGCAACAACCCAGATTCTGGCTAGGTATCAGGAGAAGTTTCCTCACTGTTGGCAATAGACAGTGAAACCAGCACCCCAGAGAGGTAGCGGGCTTTCCCACACTAGAGACATTAAAAAAGAAACTGGACAACTATCTGAATGGGATGGTGTAGATTGGTGTCCTGCAAGAGCAAGGGGCTGGACCTAATGGCCATCATGACTCCTTCCAACTCTAGCATTCTGTGAACTCCTGTGCAGGAGCTGGATATGCAAAATGGTGGCTGCGTGCACACACTGCCTTGTCGTGACAGCCTTGCCATGCTTTTTTAGTCCACTGTGGGCTATCATGTGAACCGGGCTATTAATTTTAGAACCCTCAAGCAATCATTTTGTAGGAAAGTCCATTATTGGAACAAGAGTGGAAGTTGCCACACTGAAACACTTGGTGCTTCTTTGTACTCTAAAAGTACCACCAGTTGCCATATTGTATCTTGTCAAGATCTAAATGACTAAAACTGGTCACACAGCTGCTGTGCCACAGTGTTTCATTCTGGAATTATCAAATGGCCAAATGTCAGTCACTTCTCTTTATGGAGACCAGCCTCACCGACCATTATCAACAAATATATGTATTATTTATGGAATATTCTGTGAAATGTAACATGTCCATCCTAATACCCACAGGTTCATGCTGGTATTTGCTGGGTTTCGCTGGTGGACTATATTACTTTGGGAAACTTTCATAAAAACAGGCGTGCACTGTTGCCTATCCATATGGAAGGTGTTCTCAACATATAGAAAAAGTTAGCTTTGATTTAATAAAAATAAATGCTAATGTTAATGTGGGCTGAACAGTTTTTTCAAAGCAAGGTTTATCTCCTATTTTGATGTGTGGCTATTCATAAGAAATGTATGTGCTTCTGTTACTGCTTTACTAAATTCTTTCTACCTGGTGCTTTGCCTCCAAATTACACAACTTGAAGCTCTCTGTCAAAGATTCTGTGGTTTGGGCTAGTTGTCAGGGATTGTGGGTGTTGTATTTTAAGATACCTGGAAAACATTAGGTTGTTTATCTCTGTGTCTACTGTATATTCAATAAATCACTTGGTGAGGTGCTAAAGATATGACACCACCTGGGGAAAAAACCTGGGGGGAGGGAACCATCTGAGTATCCTAAGGTCTTGCTTTTTTGTCCCAAACCACTATGTATAGGTCTGCTTAGACATTTCAGAATCCAAGATTCAGTATTGCCACCACTGAGCTTTTCTGCTAGACCTCTCTTGCCTTATTTGTTCTTTGCTTCCTTATTCATCTTGTTGAACTAGCAGCAAGACCTTAAGTTCACTTTAGGATGCTCTCCCCTTTTCTCACAGTATTCATCTTTCTGTTAAGTGAACTCGCTCCTTCCTAAGTGCTGCAAAATGCTTTGGCTTTGTCGTCTCTGCAATTCAAACAACTTTATCACCTTCCATTGTCGCTTCTGAGGCACCTCTATCCAGATCTCATTGGCAAAATTATTTAATCTGCTTGCCCATCCTCAAATCCAAGTATTGGCTTTAAGACCATGATTGTGTCTCATTTTTCTGTCATTTTCTGATGTTTTCTGTCTGTGACCTTCTTTAACTACTACACAAAGAAGGTCTGCTTATTTAAAAACATTACTGTCTTTATGCCTTTTATGTGTTTATGCCTTTCTAAATGTTTGAGTGGTGGCACCACTTTTCTTCCTATGAAGTCCTTACTTCCTCTTCCATGCTCATATCCCTTTACATCCAATGTTATATGTATTATCATCTCCTTACCTTCATTCATTATAGTGGCCCACCTTCCTGGTTTCATTATTGTCCTGTATAATGAGGTATCATTTAAATGGTGATGCCAAAAGAACAGCTACAGTAATAAATACAGCCCTATAATTAATCTTCTAATACTGTTAGTATAGGCGCAGTCTTCTGTGGGAGAACTGGCAAAGTTAGATCTGCTTAACAGTACTTAATTGGGGCCTGCATATCTATTTTTAAGGAAGCTTTAATACTTCTAAATGATGACTGACATTAAATGTACTTTGAGAATATGCTGAACTGGTTATAAAACATGTTTTCTCTTTTGACCCCAGGAACACCATGGGATTGTTTAGATTATGTATTCCTAGAAATAAAGAACATATTGCCACTGTTGAAATATTCACAGTGCTTATGAAAGCCAAGGGAAGTGGTATATTGCTAACTTCCCTGGAATAGCTGGCATTAATCAATAGCAAGTCTTCAAATCTCCAGGGTGCATCTATCATGTACTGTGCAACTTCAGAAATTACTCCTTGCCCCAGTTCTGGATTTGGCCTTATGCCACTCATGGAAACAGATTGGTTTCACCAGTGCATGCAGGGGAGCGGTTGGGAGTCACAGTTTTGATGGGCTTGGTTTAGATGATGAAATTAGACTGAGAGAACTTGAAGTTGTTGTTTCTGGCATTTGGTGTGGGACTGGTTGTCAACAGGAATTGCTCTAGAATTGGTGACATGGGTTCAAGGTCAACAACTAGAGGGTCTTGTGCCAAGGCTGGTCTTCCAGGAAGTCATCTACCAAGGCAGTTGCCAGGCCACTCAGAGTTTCTCCTCTTCCTGTCTTTGTCAGAAAGGTTTTTAATATATTCTTTTATCTGTTTTAGCTTTGTACTGTTCACCACTCTGGAATCTGCCTAGATATGGAACAGGACGCAAATCCTGTAAATAAATCAATACATATGATCTGGCCGGGGCAACTTCTTCTTCCTTCTCTTTCTCCTCCTATATTTTTATTTTATACTGATAATTTTAATTTTGTATTTGTAAATCAATGTATTTTTTTGTATTTTTATATTTAATGGTAATTTATTATGTACTATTGTATTTCAATGTATTTTATCATGTTGTAAGCCGCCCCGAGGTTTCGGCAAGGGGCGGCATAGAAATGTTATAATAATAATAATAATAATAATAATAATAATAATAATAATGTGGTGAGATTGAGGAGGTAGCCAAGGCTGTGGTAAATGGGGAACAGTGCAGAACTTGTCCAGTGCAGACTGATGCCTGACTCAGGAAGGGCCTTGCAGCAAATTTAGTTGCCAGGATTCTTCCTGGGTGCCTAAATGCGGCTTTTGTTTTTCCTGCCAAGGCTATTTCTACACACAGTGCTTCATTTTTCTGTGTTTCTATCAGGTCTCACCAAGCTTGCCAGCATGCCTGTTGGTGGGGGTGTAGCAGTCTCTGCTGGAGGTTCCGCTGCACCTGCTGCAGGTACTGCACCAGCTGCTGGTGAGTGTTTGTTTGTTTGATTTATATCTTGCTTCTTTTTAAAAAGAACTCAAAGTAGCTTACATTATTCTCCTACTGCTCTCAGTCTTAGTCCCACAGTAACAACCCTGTGAGGTAGGTTAGGCTGAGAGTCTGTGATTGATGCAACGTCATCCAGTTGGCTCCATGGCTGAGCAGAGACTAGAACCCAGATTGCTTGAGACCCAGTCCTGCACTCTTAACCACTACACCAAACTGGCTCTCTGTACAGAGTATGATATATCATGATTAAAAACCCAGCTAAACAAGCTGGGCTAACCTGCTGCAGGTAGGAATGGAGAAAGTTGATATTAACCTAAATTGTAGCATATAATTATCACAAAATAAATTGTTGACTGGCCAAAACATAGGATCCAATATTGCCTTGGTTAAACCTAGCCAGTTCCCATGCTCTTTCGGTAAAGAAAGCTTATCTTTGAAAAATTGAAAAAGCTGTATCACCAATTACACTTATAAAAATTTACAGAAAGGACATTTTAGTTGTTTAACGTTCAGATGGATCCTCCTCAGCTCTGATGTCCCATGCTTTCTCTGGTTGACATTTGGCCACATCCTTTTAGTCTTTCAATCTAGGTGACACTGTATATCAATGTAGAAAGTGGAACTTCAAAATAATTCACCTCTTCAAACACCATCCCAGGCATCCTAGTGTTCTCCTGATGTTTTGAGCTACAATTCTGATTATCTCTGCCCATCGGCCCTGCTGGCTGGCTGGCGCATACTAGAATTGTAGTCCAAACCATTAGCAGGGGTTTCAAGTTGCCTGTTCCTGTCCTATCCGGCTTGTATTTGAGTCTAAAGCAACTCAATGAAAGGCAACATCTGCCTTCAGCAATTCCAGTAGTGCTTTTGTGCAGATTTTTTTCTAACTCATAATTATTTGAACCACCTATTTCATGTTTAAGCCAAATAAGCATACAAATAGGTTGCTTTGAGGATTTCCAGCTAACTGTAAATTATTTTGTCTTTGCAGCAGAAGAAAAGAAAGAAGAAAAGAAAGAAGAGTCTGAAGAATCAGATGATGATATGGGATTTGGACTGTTTGACTAAAAACATCTTTGAGTTAGTCTGTAATAAATTTTTAAGATTATGCATTGTTGTGGCCTAATTTATGGGCATGAGCAGAAGAGGCATCATGCAAGAAACTTAGTTGCTTTGATATAATTATATCAAAGTTTTCTCTCTTGTGTTGCATTTTAAAGTATATGTTTCTTTTAAAATGGTCCTTTCCATTAAGACGAACCCTTCCATTCCTGGAGCTCATACTTGGCATTGTCATGGTCAGGTGTACTTGAACTGGGTTTAAGGAAGTATTTCAGTTCTTTGATACAGGTTGATTTTCTCAATATCATTTAACCATTTTTCGTACACTGCTCTGTGCTGAGATTGTTTGCTTAGCAAAACAAACACAAGAGACAGTTCCTATAATATTGCTGTCTTCTAGGCTAAGAGCTGTGCAGTTACAGAATATGTGCTTGCCTGTGAAGGAGATGGGAAAGCAGTACAACTGCAAGAAGTTATTGTGGTGTTGCGTTGCTAGGACTTGACATTGAAGTAATGGAAAAATACATCAATTATGAAAACAATTCTTGTATTCTTCATGTTCTAGCCTAGGTGAAGATGTGGAAGGGTAACTAGATCACCAGTTTACTGTCTGTTTTGAAGTCAGTAATATCTGAACAGTGTCTAGTTTTCTGCTGTCCATCCTGTTCATGAGGATGTTTGTGGCCTGGAAAAGATTAGAGAGCAACTCTGTGACATCACTAATTTTCCTGGATCTATTTCTTTAGCCTGCACTACTCTTGTTAACTTGCAAGGCACTCTCTTCCACAGAAGTATTCTCAGCAGCTTTGTATGAATTTTGTTTTTCTCCTCACAAGGAGTTTGCTTAAAATGTATTCTCAATTTTAATAGGTCTCAATACATTTAACTCTGAATTTCAACATTGCTGTGCTTATTTTAATGTAGCTAAAATTATACCCTGGCAGTTACTTGCTGCTCAAGAACACACAAGTCAACCAGCCATCCAGCAGCTCTATAGGAGGCTTGCCTAAGAATTGCACAACACCCCCAGCAGGTCTTCAACAAAAGTATTTGTTTTCCCCCAAACAAGCAATTCAGCAAAGTGCAGTAATACTTAATTTACTGAATAATTCTGTACCTACTTCTTGGAGGAAATGCACCTTCAAATGATGCTTTGCTGTAGTCTGGGATGGGCAACATGCAGCTTATGGGCCCCATGAACCCCCCCCCCCAGCTGCTTGTGGCTTCTGCTATATTCTGCTATCACCACCGAATTGCTGCTGTAGTGACAAACATTGCACTGATCAGCAAGGAACAAGACATGCATCTTGTTTTCATGCTAGCTGCAGTGGGAATTGGTTCGGAGGAGGACATGTGATGTGTGCCTCCTTGACCCCCAGGACTTGCTGACTTCCTGCTATGGCTGAACAGCTGGTAGATGTCATTATACACTGTGGCGCACAAAAGGCATTGTGCTCAGTTTGCCATTTCCAATGCCTTTGTTTGGTAGCATGCCTGAGCAGAAGCTATATGGAAAGCTTGGAGGGATGCTTTCCACGAAAGCAGATGGCATAGAACTGGATAAAACACTGCTTTGGCTCAGAGAAATACAGTGAGCATAACAAATGCACAAATTTGTTTTGGCGGCATCTCTTCCTCCCCCCTTCACCTCATGAACATTGTTAAAAACATAGCTCCTGCTCTCCCAATAGCTTCTACACTAGCATAAGCTAGGGCATACTGCTTAGCATACCCTTATGTCCTAAGCTGGCTCAAGTGGGAGTGGGTTAAGGCATGAGGCAGACTTCTCATTTCTGTCCTCTGGCTGGACTCAGTGTGCAGTTTGTCTTAAACTAATAATTATAAACTGACAGCTGTTCAAGAGGAGCAATGATGGTGGCAGTAATGGCTGAAGTAAATGAGGTGAAGTTTATTTCAAACAGCAAAGTAAATTCAGGCAAAGCCGGTCTATGTATATAGCATTTTATCTTTGAAAGTTACCATCATATTTTGAGATGTGCTACATCCAAGTAACATGAGCTTTAACTCAAAGCTGAAGGTGCCAAAGAGTTGCTCAAAGTAGTGAGTTACCCAACAAGGGAGTGAATTCCAGTCTGAAATGAATTTTTTATACAGCTCAGCATCCAGTAACACAAGGAACATAATTTCTTCAGTACATGTATGCTGTGCCTTGTTAATAGAGGTTGGCCACACTGGGAGTTGTAGTCCAACATACCAGTAGGACACCAGGTGGAAGCAAGCAGAGACAAGTTATGTTAAACCTGTAGTAAAGAAATAGTTTTAAGTCCTCACCCAGCTAAAAACTTACAAGAAATGGACATGAAAAATCATGAGGTACTGTATGGTGGAAACAGCTCCTTTAGATTCATTGGATCGGTAGCAGGGAGATCAGGAGGAGAACTGGCATAAAACAAAAATAGAGCAGCTCGTGCCTTGGGCAGAGTGCAAAGGCCATCCTGTAATTAATTGGATTTCTCAGATAGGCTCTGGAGTTAAAAACTGGCTGGTTCTTGCTGCTAGGGTGAGTGATGACGTACCAACATGCCAAATGTTTTCATATACAGCAAAAACAACTTTTGACATTTTTCAGTGAGTTTGGTGCTGCTGAGGCATGTACTTAACTAGGGGTCAGTCTAAGCTCTTACGATTTTCTTTCTAACTACTTAACCCATAAACAGGTACTTGGTTATGAGAATACAATATGGAATAGAGGCACTAAGATAGCTTCTGCTGAAACATTTAGAGCAATACTGCTGTGATTGAGTGTGGAAAGAAGTGACTTTGAGAGTTAATCCTCATGGGGGGAGAGAACTAGCCAACATCCCTCTTGCCTCATTAGAGCAGCAACACAACAAATGTTTCTTCACATTCTGTCCCCTTGCCTCTGCCCAATAAGATAGAAAAAAATAAATCTTATCTACCCAGGACAGAAGTCAAAATGGCTCCACCTTTGTGTTGTTAAAACAATAGCACAGGCTTCAGGGGAGATCAGAGTTTAATTCTAGAGACTGAGTGAAGATTCCAAATAAATACACATTTAATCCTCAGTTCACTGCATCTTGGTGGAAGGCAGGGGGAGGGAGTGGCACGATGGGACTGGATGAACCTAGGCATCATGTTCTGCATGTTAATCGGGTTTTAAGAAAAAGGAATGGAACTGCCTTCCTCCACCTGATGCCCTCTGGATATCTAATGGATTTGCTGGCAACTGTTGAGGAGAAGTGCCATCCGTCACATTTGGAGGAAGGCTGGAACAGAACGAAGGAGCCAGGGAGCAATTCTTGGGATTCTTGTCAGAGCCACATCAACATTTCACATCATGGTTATGAAGATGGGCCTGGCACATCATCCAAACATACATCCCAGAGCAGTAGGCAACCTGGTACCCGCTCAATGCTTTGGCTTACAACTTCCAGCAGCCCCAACCAGCATGGCTAATGGGCAGGACTTATGGGCACTGTAGTCCAAACACCTGGAGGATGTCAAGTTCCCCTTAATCCTGGAAAATACTTTGTACATAAAAGTGTTGTTTCAGCTACAGGTTCATCAGTTTTCTTTCTCTGCTGTGATTGAAATGTTGAATACAAAAGCGTGGTAGTTAATCTGCACTTTGTGCATATTTAGGAGTTACTGGAAGACATACACATCCAGTATCTAGTTATCACTAGATAGTAATTAAGATTAAGGCAAGTGGTTATGATTTAGTGAGTCATACACTTGTCCTTCAGGAACAGGGCAACCAGGGAAACATACAATTTAAAAAGATACAGACTTGACTCATGCTTGGATTGCACAGAAGTTTAGAAAGTCTAGCTTACTGAGTGACTCTGGGTCAGGTGCTCCCTCTCAGTCTAACCTACCTCACAGGGTTGTTTGTTTGTTTGTTTAGAAAATTTCTATGCCGCCCCATTTGCCAAAGCCTCAGGCGGCTCACAAATATATCAATTAAAATATTAATAAGAATATAAAACAAGTTAACAATATAAAATAAGTCACCCTGGCCGAAGAATAAAATAAATAAATAGTATTAACAGTTAAAATGACGTTTGAATAAAAAAGGTCTTCGCCTGGTGCCGAAAAACAAATAACGACGGCGCCAGGCAACCTCTCTAGGGAGCGCATTCCATAGATTAGGCGCCACCACAGAGAAAGCCCTCCTACAAGTATTTACCCTCCTAATTTCCTTCACGGAGGGTTCCCGGAGAAGGGCCTCTCCCGCAGATCTCAGGGGGCAGGCAGGCAGGCATATATGGACGTAAGCGCTCCTTCAGGTAACCAGGACCCAAGCCATTTAGGGCTTTATAGGTTATCACCAACACCTTGAATTGGGCCCGGACTTCAATGGGAAGCCAGTGAAGCTGACGGAGGACTGGAGTCATGTGAACATAACGCCCAGTCCCCGTCAGCAGCCTGGCAGCTCTATTTTGAACCAGTTGAAGTATCCGGACCGTCTTCAAGGATAGCCCCACGTAGAGCGCGTTACAGAAGTCAAGGTGGGAAGTCACCAATGCGTGTGTCACTGTCGCCAGGTAGTCGTACTCCACGTAGGGGTGCAGCTGATGGATCAGCCGAAGCTGAAGGAAAGCGCTCCTCGCCACTGCTGTCACCTGAGCTTCCAATGAAAGCTCTGGGTCGAGGAGCACTCCCAGGCTGCGGACCCTGTCCCTAAGAGGGAGTGCAACCCCATTCAGGACTAGGTTCAATTCACCCTCACTGAAGCCCCACCTGCCAACCAACAGGACCTCCATCTTGTTGTGAGGATAAAATAGAGTTATGTAAAATGCCTTGAGTTCCTCACAAGAGGATATAAATGCGATGTAATAATGACAATATATACTCCTTTCCTTTGATATCCTGTATTTGCAAACCCTTTGCAAATTCAACTTGAGCCACCAACAAAGGGTCCAAATACAAAACATATCACGACAATTCTGCTAAATGCTCCTAGACAGGCTTAGGGGAAGAGCAGAAAACTGAAGGTCAACACTATATAATTAATAGATGTATTGAAATTGATTAATAGCAAACGATCTGTCTTTGGAAAGT